CTTTTAAAGTTATTCTATTCTAAGTATTACGTCGTACTTATTAGATATTAAATTAAGCGTAATTCTTTCTATATAGTCTATAAGCTATAACTTTACGTTCCTTAGCTCCTCTCTAATCTACCCTTCGTCGTACTCTACGAGAAACTCGTCTACTATACATAACGGGTATAACTAATTTTTTTTTCTTCTATAGTTCCGTAGTTTTTCTTCTATTTATATTAACATATAGCTCTAGTTTACTCTATAATCTATTAGCGTATTAATAGGTAGCTCTTCTATTTTAGCCTTAAAGACTAGATATAGGTTTTCGCTAGTTAAGATAGTATATAGATTCTAAGGTTTTTAAGTAAGATAATTTCGCCTCTTTAAATTATCTTCTTCTCGTTTTTTAGAAAGTAGGTATATTTTTTCTAACTATACGTATACTCTTCTTTATCGTAAGTTAACCCTTTATCGATTAGGGTCTAATAGATCTTTAGATTAATTAACTAATATAGATAATCGAAATCGATATTAAATAAGTAGTAATAGTCCTTAAAGTATATCTCGTACCGTATATTCGTATATTCGAAGTAGCCGGATTCGTATATATTATCGGCTCTTTCTTCTACGATTATCTTAATCTAGTAGTTTTCTTCTATTAGTATATTTAGCTATTATCGAGGTTAACTCCGGGTTAGTTCTAGGTATTCTTCTAGTACTCTAATTTCTTTAAGTCTTTCCGTATCTAGGTTATAGAAGTAAATTTTCTCGGTTATTTCGTATTCTTTCTTTCTATATATCGAGACTTATACGATTATTAGCTATTTCTATAGTATCGATTATAGATCTAGTATAATATATCGATATTAAGTCCTATAGTAGTAGTACTCTAGGTTATATAACTAGATTTACTACTATTTAGTTATAATCCGTAATTCGTAGATATCTACCTCTACGATAATAAGTTCGCTTCTTTATACTCCGACTACTTCTATTATATAGATCGTTTCTTTATTTTTCTTATCCGTATTCTCCTCTATTATTATTAGATATTCTCGAAACGAGTAATATAAATATTCTTCTCCTTAATATATATATAGGTTTTTCTTAACCTTATAGTTCTTATTCTAGTATATTATCGCTATAATTACTCTTCGTTTCTATTCCTAACTTACTAGCTCTAGTACGTAATAGTTCTATCTATAATTTCGTAAGTCCTTATAGTATCGTAGATCGTATTCGATCTCTATCTATTATCGCGTTTCGAGAATAATAAAGTCTAGTTCTTCTATAAGGACTTCGTATACTATATCTTCTCTATTCCTAAGGATCGTATTTCTTCTTTCCGCGAAAGAATATAAATATACTTTCGTATTTTTTATATAATACGTATATTTAATATTACTAAGTTCGTATTACTAATCCGTATATTATTTAATTAAGAATTCCTAAGTCTCTCTTTTCCTTAGTTCTTTAGATATATAGACTATATATTATAACTTATATTCGTACTCGTATATTATTATTTCGTATAGAATAACTTCGTAGTATAGTATTCTTATAATAGTATATTCTTTACTATTTTCTAATACTTCGAACTTTTAGTATTCTAGATATTCGTCGTTATAAATAGTAGAGATCCGATTATATTCGTCTATTAGGTCGATCGTAGTCTATCTCTCTTCTATAAGTAGAAACTCTTTAACTAGACTATTCTCTTTTAATACTAACGACTTTCTATTTTTCTTCGTCTTATTACGCTTTCTTCTTTAAGAGAACTATCTACTTCCTTCTTTTTCTAAGTAGTAAATAGAGTAATCGTCGATATAATAGACCGTCTATAAAAGAGTAGTATACTTAATAGCTTTCTAGCGAGATCTTTCTATAGTCTTATCTATATTCTCGCTTATCTCTCTATTACGTAGGCTTTAACCCTCTTCTCTATTAGTAATTTCGGTCTTAGATTAGTTCTTCTATACTATTTTTAGGTTCTTATCGACTCGAGACTCCGCTTTCGTCGTACTTTTCGTACGAGTTTTTATAGAAGTATCGGCCTTTTTCGCTTCTATATCGACTAATTTAGTTATTATATATAGTCCTTAGGCCTTAGCGTAATATTCTCTTACTCTATAGCCGAATTTACTATAATTATAGTATAGGTTCTTCTTCTTACGTCTCTCTCTCTCTCGACTTTTCTTATTTATAAACTTATATCGAGTTTCTCTTAGTCTTAAAGATCTAGATTTTATTTCTATAACGTCTAAGTCTATTAGGTTACCGTAGGAATAATTTATTCGGCGTTATTCTTCTCCTAAGAAGTAAGCCTTTCTAAACTATTCTTTCTTCTCTAGTCGTCTTTTATATAATCGATTATTAATCTCGATCGATTTATCGATAAGCTTCTAATAGTTCGATAGTACTTCTTCTATTCTATCTTTAATTAGGTCGACTAGTTCTCGATAGTATACTATTACTAACGTATTAGAGTTCTACGATACTCTTTTAGCGAGCTATCTAAACTAAGTATAATACTACGCCGCCGAGCTTCGCTATTTAACTTCGTAGAGTATTCTTTCGGCTATAGCTTCTTCGTCCGTAACTCTAAAGATTTATTTAATTTTTACTTCGAAATTCGCGAAGCTATAAAAGATAATACGAGTCTCTTAATCTAGGTTCGAGGCGTTTTACGTTTCTAGATAGTCCGTTAAGGTAGGTTCGAACTAAATAAAGGTAGAGCCTTTAAGATTTAGTACTACGAATATAACTTAGGACTATACGTTAGGATACTTCGATAGATATAGCTTAAAGACGGTCTTAAGTTATACTAAGAATATCTTTAGTTTAGACTTATTTTCGTAAAAGTATTCTATCTTTATATCGTTCTTTTCTCTTTCTAGAATATTATAGGTTATTAATCTACTTAAGAGTCTACTAGACCTAACTAATTCTATTAGAGATTTAGCGCGAGAGATTACTATACTTACGTCTATCTAAATCCTATCTTTCTATTAAAAGGTAGTTAAAGTATTACGAATCGTTCTATAGAGTTACGAGTTCGATTAGTATTTACTAACGTAAGAGAAGATAAGATCCGACTAAGTATAGATAGAAAAGACGAGTTCTATAAATAATAG